TGAGTGGGTACAAATCTTGTCTCTTTTACCTTTTCACTAACAGCTGACAAGGTCCTTCAGTTCACTGGCTTGGGCACAAGTACAATAAAGCAATCAGTCGAAAACAAGAATCAACCAGGAAGCTCGACTCACTGTATAAGTTGATTAATCCCTTTGCATCCCCAAGAGCAAGTTACGACATTCAGTTCTTTGAAGACCAATGGAACAATCAGCGTCAATTTCAATTAAACCATACCGATGCAGATCGTGAGCGGCAAGAGCGTCTGGCCAGCTTTCTGGATCGGGAAGCCAGTTTGAATCGACTGAGGTAAATGAGCCTCCATCAACCGCAATTATCTTTATTTGATTTGAGAACAATGTTATTTGACTGACACATGGGTATTACAGAACACAACTCAACACGATGGTATCGACCGATGCTGGTTCCTATGACAACATATTTCAATCTTTACTGGACATTGCCTCAAGTATGGAACAGCAACAAGAATTCGCTAGGGAGCTTCCTGGAGAGCACAACATATTGATTGGTCAAGATGGTATGCCTCAAACCGTTTTTGCTGTCTTTTTACAACCCCAACTGACACCATGTTGAGAATTTAAAGCCCCAAGGAGAAGATTGCAATTGCTGCTTTGGCATTCCAAATCGGAATTGTACACTCATGCAGTTGAGTTGTTTGCAGAACAACAGCCTTTGTATCGAGGGACTCACATTGGAACGACACTCAGCACACGCATCATAGCTGCGATTGATCGGCGGAAGAGACCTATCGAAACAGCAATAAGGAAATATAATGAATATCGACACGAATACCTTGCGCTTCTGACCCCTGAGGAAGATCATCCAAATACCCCCGAGATGTCATATCGAACTTTTGTCAACTTATCACTCGATGATGCTTTCTGGCAAGATGTGTATCTGTACCATTCACGAGCTCCTTGGGCGGTCAACTCTGATGTGCGGTCCGGAATACATGCAATGTTGATTGCAAAAAGAGTAGAAGAGGAAATTAACATGATACAGCATGAGTTTGAATCGGCGCTATCTTGGGCTGTAAATCATCATGTCCTTCTCAAGGCAAAAATTAGTATACTTGGTACGATAACCTATTTTTAAATCACTCTGGTATGGAATATTGTGTGATCTGATTTGTTTGTATCATTTCATTTTACTTGCAGAACGTTTCCTCTCGGAAGTGTCTGAAGACGATGATGAAGAAGTTGAGGCAAACGATACGGCAGGCGGCATTCTTACTTCGATCAGCTTTGGCGATTGCGGCAACTCCGTCAAGGCTGATCTATCGCTATCCATCTTGAAGAACCACCTAACTAAACACGAGGCTCTTCTGAAAACTTGGTCGGCAGATGTTCTGTCATTGTGGGGGCAGCTATACGGAAACGGTCCACAAGCCCACGAATGGTTCCGACTTATATCAACATTTGCATCAAATGATAGAAATGGAGCAGATAACACCATGAGGACCGGTCGTGAACAGGAGGTTATCGATGACATTGAGATCGATGAGGAAGGGGAAGAGGTGGACCCAGGTGAACTGATAAATCATATACATATCAACTAGTAATTAAGTGAACAACCGTCAATACACTTTTCCTCCTCTTCTCGTTAATGTACTCTATGCCGATTTGTGTTGCTAGTTTTGTCTGTTTCTTTCTGTGTTTTTTCTCAACTTATGTTTGCGAAGGAAAGTGCCTATGTACATAGTGAATTCATGCCTCATTCTAATTCCGTACTGCAAAATGGGATGTCCAACTATCTGCCAGTGCAGCCGCACCGGAAATTACCCATGGCCAAATTTCAACAGTGCACATGTTGTTTTACTGATAGATACATGTGTTGCAATGCAACAAAAAAAGGTTGATCGTTCAAATCCGAAGTCAAACTGGACGGACAGAAAATTCCTCATTCTTCAAGCCAACTGCCCCCCCACGACTCCACCGTTATTTTTTTGGTTTCATTTCGGTTGTTGAGTAGCAATTACAATGGACCATACATGTGTACTACTTACAAAACAATTGTTTGAGCAATCAGTCGTGATGAATCGTCGACTGAGTATGACAGACTGTTTTTTCGGTATCGGCGGACTTGGAGGAGAGGAAGGGGGGGAGTGAGGTCGACTTTGAAGTTGAGCGACCTTGGGGGGATTTCGGCTGGGAGTTCACCCCAAACCGGCGGTTCCTGCGGCCGACTGAATCCCCGCCAAATCAATGTCTAAACCCGCTCTTACGCACCCGCGAGCTACTCTCTTAGAGGGTAGCGGCCAGTCCTCTCAGGTGTTGAACTTGTACCGTAAGATTCACTTTTGTCTTTTTCTTTATGCTGGACATGTGACTCAGTTAGCCCCTTTGGAAGTTAGCCTAAGTTGTCTGAGGCTTAACAGGAGGCCTACATGAAGTTCAGCACAATAAAAACCAGGCGTGTAGGATTGGCAGTGTCAAGCCATGAGCCAAATCAGAACCAGGAGATGTGCGCTGATTTTGATTTAATGACTAGAGTAGCACCGAGTTACCTCGTGAGGAATGATCTAAAAGCACTATGACCCGATCGTGTTAAGTTGCAGTAATCTCATGTGGCCATTCAAATTCCCAACCAAAACCAAGGCTGGATAGCCAGACCAATAGAAGTCCGCTGCCACACAGATTGAGTCGCAAAGCTAAAAATGAAATTAAATCCAAAAAACATTCAAGGATGCATAGAATTCAAAAGAGGAACTTGATAACAGAGCAAATTTGGAAGACAAATTTTGGCGTCCATTGTAACTATTTCAAGTTGCATAATCCATAGAAAGTGATTATCGTCAAATTCGATTGCGCACTGGCCACCAGGAAATTGTATTTCTCCGGAGACGGTCGGGTCGATCTTTCAACAGCCCCAGAGGTTTGGATCTCATCGGCAAACATTACTGAAGTGCATTTCTTGTATCTTGTTTTTCATGCAAAACTTTCCAAAAAGGTTAATCTGACTGAAGCTGATTCTCATAAAAAACAAGAACAGAGGAAGAGGGAAATATGATTTCATCTATCATAGCCCAGCTACTACCAACAACCGTAGCTTTCATCGTACGAGCAAACAGATCTAGGGTGGATTCAAGAAGGGAGAAACAAGAAGAAAAGAGAATGATGATTAGTCCTAGGGAGGAATAAAAATTTTGTGACAAGGGACATATTTTTACATTGAGTGGGTGCTACCCGATCCTGGTCGGGCCAGCTGCCCAGGTTGAACGCGGGCCATTGAAGCACCTACTGGGTATGGTGCCGACCTTCGGCCATTGGATCCCGGAGCAGCTGCCATCGATCGTTGGTAAGATGATGAGGATGATGGTGGCCTAGGCCTAGTCGAAGGGACACAAAGGAAGAGGGATTAGTGTCAACATAAAAGTTTTCTATCAAATTCTTTTTTAGTAGCATACCAGTTGGGCGCAGTGGCAATGCTTCGCTCCGGACCGGCAAGATCCGAGGCAGTATGTCTTGACAAGGATGAGACTCGGCCTTGTATATCAGACGTGCTGGAAAACGTGCCCTGTGGGTGACGTGGCATTAGAGTGGCGTGTTGATCAGCAATCTCCTGAAGGGAAATCGGTTGAGAATCAACCCTCATGGAGAAGGCGAAGATATCTGTATAATTCACAAGAAGAAAGAGGAGCTGTTCATCGTCAGTATGTTGCCACTTCAGCAATGTTAAAGCGAAAAGTGATCATATTCGCTGGCTATAGAATTTACTCAACATAGTGAAATTAGAATCATTTTGCAGGTGTAAGGAAGCAAAGCCATGATGCTTGATCGGATAAGCCACTTCTGAGGGTGCACAGGAGGTGTAGGGAGAAGGGGGGAAGTTGCCAGTTAGGGTGGCGAAGGAAGCTACGGAATTTATATGTTTTCAAAGCCTTTGAGATCCTCGTGGCAAAAAGAGACATCCATAGAATCAACAAGTCATATCAATGCTTCAAGCTTGCGGGCTACATGAGAATTCGCACAATCGTCGATGATGATATGAAGAGGAGAAGTTGAAGTCGATTTCCTGGGATTAAAAAGCCCGCATCGGACTGTAGTCTCTCAGTCTCAGTACAAATTGTTCCTCCAAATTCTTCAAAAAAGTCCTTTCAGATTCGCCCGCAGTTAAGTACCAATACCAAATCATTTGAATCTACCCCCTTCAAAATAATTAAAATACCAAAGCATTCGGTTCGGTGATTATGTGAATCGGGTTGTTCTACGCATACGACATGCTATCAAGTGGTGACGTGGTGTACTGTAACTCTCTGCCGGGTTTTGAATAAAAGAGTAGAAAATCTTACTCAGGTAACACAAACATTATGTGAAGTCATCGCCAATGTGCCCAAAATCTGCGCTTTTGAAAAGCAAAAAGAGTCAGATACAACAGACATTCCGTTACCCCAGCACGCAAGCGTTCTACATAGACTTGGTGCGACACATATTTTGTATGCATGAACGTTTTCTCCTGTTTTCTCCCATGCCCACGTGTCCGTGAGCTCATGTGGGGAAGATAAGGCTAATTCTAACCTTCGTTAGGTTATGTACCGATCAAAAGGGGGTAACGATAAGCACACCAAATGCTATGCGGTAGGAATTTTTCAACCCAAAAGGGTGATTACATTCAAAACTTCTTGATAGATCATTTTAACAGTCTAAAGATTGCTAAGCCCATGCAAAAGGCCTTGTTTTTGGCCTGTTTTGGCCCATGGCCATCAGAGCCGGCGAGGCTTGTTGAACTCCAAAGTTACTTCGTCAACGTGTGAGCAAGGAATTGTGCGGAGTTTTAAAGTTTGAACGAATGAGTCGAGTGAGATGAGAAGAAAAATCAACATGACCAACTCGGCAAAGCTCGGCAAGCATCGAGGATTTGATTCGCAATGCGAATGTGAGGCTTGTATGTAAATTGCAATGGGCAATTTGCATGTCTTCTTCACAATCTGATTCCGACATTGCCCACTTTCAGCATTTGAAATTTGAATGCTCTGTCGCCTCCTGTTGCACGATTGCCAGAAACAAGCAGAAATTACACACCCAGGCTGGTAACAGCTGGTAACCCAGGTAGCTGCTTTCGGTTCTACAGGGTGAGACGCACATTGACCCTGTAGAAAATCATCCAAAAGAGCACTTGGTGCTGTTTTCTGGATTCATGAATAGATTGGCACCGGGAGAAGGTGAGTGGGTTTGAGCAAGATTGTTCAAAGATCAATATTTCATCAAAATCCAAATTTATCTCATATTGTCCAGTTGCAGGATTATCACCTCTCATGACAGAAGATTGCGCTTTTGCGCTGGCAAAACGTAGCCATCCTACACCCACAAATGGTCTCAGGTTGGATATCCCGCAGAAAGATAACTGATTCTTGTTTTGGTTAATGTCCAAGTTAAGCTAATAAAACGCTAACATCCTTTCATACGCAACTCACAGGTGATTTTAACTCAATAGAGGAATAAACGCACAAAGATATATGGGCTAGATGGATCAGTAGATTGATGTAATTGTCAATGTATATAACATGGACACTTCAGTGGGACTTGTTTAGGATAATTCACGTAGGAATTTGAGTGGTAAAAAGCAAAATGGATAGGTCTTGAGAGTATGTATGCTGTTGTACTCCAAGATTCATTTTTGCCTGCCAGGTCTCTAGTTGATTTTGCACGTCTGGCTTAGTAAGTCCCCGGGGAGGTTAGCCTAAGTGAGCTCAAGCTCAACAGAAAGATTCGAATGTGATCGTGATATGGAGGCGATTCGAAGGCTCTTGCTGATCGGAAATTTGCACCCCACTGAACCTTTTCCTTCGTAGTTGCATTGATCAATCCTGAAGAAACCGATGCCTACATCAAGTTCCAAGGGTTAAAAATTCGAGTGTGCTTAATTAGGAGCGCTAGTCATGCTCTGACGCAGAACAAGTAGACGCGCTCTGATTTTCCTGTGATGCTGATTAGAGTAGCAGCTAGACTTCGCCAGGAATGATCTGAATCCACTAGGATCCGACAGTGTCATGTTGGAGTAATTTATCTCATGTGCTCATTCGAACTTCTAACCAGAACCTAGGGTGGATAGCCATCTCAAAAAAATTCTGTTGGCACTCAGATGAAGACGCAAGACTACACACGAAGTCGAGTGCGAACCATTCAAACGTAGACTAGAGTTAGAGTTCAGTTAAGGAGCTTGATAAACGAACAAATTTGGAATATAAATTTCAGCGTCCATAAACATATCGCGTTACACAATTCATAGACATTGATTATCTTTCGATTGTGCGCTGGTTACCAGGAAATTGCCTTTCACCGAAGACAGTCGGGTAGATCTTTCAACAATCATAGAGGTTTGGGTCCCACCAGCAAACACTCCTTTGATACAGCGTGGGGTCCAACGAAAACAAAATGTTGTTAATTTATGTATGGGTCGACTAGCAGCGATAAACTTCGTTAAGATAGCTTACACGGTTATAGCTGCAGGGTTTCCGTAAATAGCGACTGATTCCTTCCCATTCGGGAGTACCAAGGTAGTAGAATTCGATTTCCGGTGGTCGGTCTTCGATTTCCGGTTGTCAGTCTTCGATTTTTGGTGCGGAGGGGCAGCACTTGCCATGTACACAAAGAGGCCTGTTGATCAGCAATTCAAAAGGAGTGCAAAATAATGTTCAGTGTGGATTCAAGAGTGAAGACCATGTCTCATTATGAGTGTGAGGTCTACTAACAGAGTAAAGCCACGATCTGAGGGACGATGATGAGGATAAAAGATCGAATAGACATTTTGCAAGGAGAATTGGATAGAATTGTACGGGGTGAAGCCTTGAGGTACCCTCGGCCACCCTGTGCGCCTTACATAAATATGTAGACTCACGAGTCACGGCGAGAGGAACACGTTCTGGAATCCGGACAACTTGTTGTCCCCTTCCGAAGTTCAGGCGCAGGGCAAGCTGCCGAAAGTTTTTTTCTGAGAAGTTGGAAATCTCCACTGGAATGATCAAGACATAAATACGTACAACGTTTTGTCAGCGGACCAGCCGTCCTTTGGAACAGTTTGGAACGCGTTAACGACTCCGAATCTTTTGGGTTTCCTATTGAGTTACATACATATGCAAATTCAAATAGTTTTTGTATTTATTAAAATGGTCAAAAAGGCTCACTTGACTCTGAGCATGCTGTTAAACTCCTTGAACTGTTCTGATTGTTGTAGCACGAGTACGTAATGTGACACATTACGCACCACGTCACTACATGACAGGCAAAGTCACACACCAAGGAAAGTCATGACAGAAGACTTTCCCTGGCCAAGACTTTCCCTAGCCTGTCGACTTTCCTCGACTTCGACCATATGTTGTATTTACATAATTATTGTATATAAATACAACGTTTCTCCACAGTTTGTTTTGATTCATTCCTTCCATATTCATTGCAATCCATTCATCATTTTTCCTCTCACGTGTCACTACCTCAATAGGTTATGAGCATATTTCTCGCTTAAATACATCAAGATTAGATTTACCATTTTTCAAAGTTTACAGATCCTTTTTTTCCTAGTAGTACCACAAGTTTTCTCTTCCATATCTCGGGTGTTTTCCTCTGTTATCTCTGGGTGTTAGAATCGGGTGTTTTTTTTCTCTCTACGGGTGTTAGTTTCTCCACATCGGGTGTTTTTCCTTCAATAGTTTACCAGTACCAAGATTTTTTCCCTGCTGCTCTTCCGGTTTCCCCTGTTACTACTTCCTTACTACACTGCAATGGCTCCTCTCATCTCGCGCTCCCCTGTCGGCACCAGATCTACTACCAGTAATGTGACCACCAGACCAGCCACCAGCACCGCGGCGGGCAAACGGGTGGCTCGGAGCCCCTCTCCACCTGGTGACGATGGTGTCGGCGACTCCAACGGCAACCAAGGTAGCTCAGGCGGTGGCGCCAACCGTGGAGGGACTCCCCCGCCCCTTCGGGACCCTGCCCCACATTTCTTTCGTGACGCTCCCCACCCTCCCCACCCGGCTGACGACCCTCGCACCAGGGCCATGATCATCAATGCGGCCTCTAACCAGTTCCGCGATGAGTACAAATTACGGGAGGACGGTTCCAATTTCCGTGACTGGCTCCGGGAGATCCGAGAGCTTGCCTTGCTGTGTTTCAACCGTGAAGATTGGTATGATGCCGACCGGTCACATGACCGCTTTGACATCCTCGCCAAGTCTGCCCTTCTCATCTCAGTCTGCCGACCGATCAAGGCCGACCTTTATGATGTCGGTTCCAGCCACGCCATCATGCAGCAACTTCGCCGCCGCTTCACCACATTCAGCAGAGCGGCCCAGTTGAACAAATGGATTGACCTCTTTAAAGTTCCTTGTGACAAGAATAGCGAACCTTCATCTATTGCCACCCTCTACCGCCATCGCTTGGCAGATCTCCGTGACGCCGGTGTTTGCATCACCGCGGATTCCATTCTGTCCATCATCCTGCATTGCTCCATCGCCCACGGCACCAAGCTCCGCCATGAATTTGACATGGCCATTGACCGTGAGCTGTCTGTCGACCAAGACGACCCTCTCTCGTTCAACAATCACATAGACATTCTTACCGCCTGCCGGGAGAAGGTCCGTGCTCGCGAGTCAGACCGCCACCGCAACCCCCTCCCCTCTGGTTTCTCAGCTGGTTTTCATCAATCCCAACCTCCGGCCCGGAGCGCTTCCGTTGAAAGCCACCCAGACAACGTCTATGTGCTGGCTGGTAGGCCAGCTAATTTCAAGTCCCCAGCTCCTGGGACGACTCGCACATGCTTCCGTTGCGGGGCCACCGGGCACCTCATCTCCAACTGCACGGCCCCTCCGACGTTTCCCGCGGCCCATCGGGATTTCCATGGCGTTCCTCCTCCTCCTCCTCCACCTGGCTTGATGGGACCACAATACCAAGCGTATTATCCCATCCTCGCACCCCCATTTCCCCCTTTCCCACCCTTCTTACCCCCTCCCCCACCCCCAGCTCCGGCTCCCCTTCGCCCCGCTGACTCCTACAGACCGGTCTACAAGCAACCCTCCGGCTTGGGGAATCGGCCAGCCGCCAGAGAGGCGGAGGCCGGGTCCGAAGAACCAGCCCCCGCTGGCCACGTGTTTGATACCAACCCCGACATGCAACCTTCCTTCTCTGATTTGAGTTTTACTGGCACTGATACTCGCCCTGAAACCTTATTTGATACTGGAGCCACCCACCACTTGACGGGTGATAGGTTAGCATTGACCGATTTTACTGAGCTTGAAAATCCTATACCCCTTCGTGTCGCCACTAATGGCAGCCCCCGTTTTGTTACAGCGAAAGGGACCCTGACTTTTCGTGGGCCCAGCTCAACTCTTATCCATCTTAAGGGGGTCCTGTTTTGCGCCCACGCCGCTCACACCCTCATCTCCCCAGTTGCACTCTGCTTGGCTGGGTTTGGTCTCTCTTTTGACGAGCGAACGGACTGTTTTCATGTTTCTTCTTTTAACCGGATCTGGGCTTCATGTCGCCTTGATATCCGCTCTCGCAAATGGTTGTTCCCCAGACCTTTGCGCTGTCTCTCTCCTGTTGTTTCCTTTCCTTCTGTCCCTACTCCCCCTGCCTCACCAACTGCTGTCGCTCGTTTGTCTCACGTTGTGCCTGTTACCTCTGCAAATACTACTGTCTTTACTGTGCCTACTGAACCCCCTGTCAATGCTCTCGGGGCAACGGGCCCCACACGTGACGCGAAGCCTGACGAACCTGAACCTTTCCTCATACGTGTTCCGGTTGCCACAGACAAGCCTTTCTTGCCCACTGCCTTGACCGCTGACCAGCAGCTGCTCCTTCATGGGCACCGACGTTTTGGCCACGTCAGCTTGCGGGTTATTAAGCGCATGATGAACCTTGGAGTTGCTTTGGGCCTACCTAAGAGCCTGCCACCGGGGGACATCCAATGCGGCGCCTGCCTAATCTCCAAGAGTGTGAACAAAAACACACTCTCTTCCGATAGCAGAAGTTTTGCGCCCATGGACGCATGGAACGTTGATTTAGTCGGGCCTTTCGAGGAACCGGCACTGAGCGGCGGCACATACATCTTGACCCTCCGGGACATTGGTTCCGGGTATTGTGAAATTAAAGTCCTGGTACGGAAGTCGGATGCCACGGGCGTCATCGTCGAGACTGTACGCCGCCTGGGAAACATCACCGGTCGCCGACTGAAGATCCTTCGATCTGACAACGGCGGGGAATTCAACAACAAAGTCCTATCGGCTTTCCTGTCTGCGGAGGGGATATCCACCGAACGCTCCATTGCGTACCACCACTATCAGAACGGCACGATTGAACGATACAATCGGACCCTGCAAGACATGGGCCGAACGGTCCTCCTGGACAGTACGCTACCCAAACCCTTTTGGGGCCTGGCTTTCGTTTGGGCATGCTACACTCTGAATCGGATTCCGAACGCCGCGAGTGGAGAACTCACCCCGTTTGAACGATTCTACGGCAGGAAACCTAATCTCGACCGCCTACGACCTTTTGGGGCTGTCGCCTTCATCCATGTCCCCGTCGAGAAGCGGCGCAAACTGGATGATCGAGCAGTCCGTGGTTATGTGGTTTCGTATCTACCCGACTCCAAGGGATGGGGCTTTTGGGTCCCCGAGCTTCAGGGTTACGTTCAATCAGCGGTCGCCACATTCATTGACTTTCCGTCAAGCATAAACGAGTCGGCATCTTTCTCGTTCGCCGACACGCTATGCCTCCAGTTGGGCAGTTTCCAGGATGAATTGACCGTCCAAGCCCAGGATGTCTTGGTCGATTTGCTTTCCGATTCGGTACCAGATTGCTGTGATGCTACGCTGCCTCAGACTTTCAAGCAAGCATCCCGTCACGCCGATTCTGCGCGATGGATGGAGGCTATCAAGGAGGAATTGGACAACATGGCGCGATTGGAGGTCTGGGAAGTCAAGCCCATACCCCCTGGGGTCACCGTCTTACGCGCTAAATGGGTATTCGCGATCAAGACAAACGCTGACGGCTTAGCGGATCGTTTTAAGGCGCGATACGTCGCCAAGGGTTTCACTCAAGTTTCTGGGGAAAATTTCAACGGCACGTTTGCGCCTACCGCAACGTTTATGTCAATGAGGATCATCTTGTCCGTAGCGGCGTTGAACGGCTGGCCTGTGCACTCGTTCGATTTTGTCGCGGCCTACCTCAACTCGCCCATCGACGAGGAAGTTTGGGTCGCCGCTCCTGAAGGATTACCTGTACCCTCCGGTTCCGCTTGCCTCCTGAGAAAGGCGCTTTACGGCACCCGGCAAGCTGGACGATGCTGGTGGAAACACCTGGCATCGACTCTTTCAAGCCTTGGTTACACCAGCTCACAATACGACGGAAGTGTCTACATATTGACTGGGGACCAAGGCAACAACGTGATTTGGATACATGTCGATGACGGCATCGTCACCGGCCCGTCGAAGGAAATCCTCCACAAGCTTGAACGAGATCTGTCTTCGTCACTGAAGATCAAGTGGACAGACTCCCTCGAAGACATCATCAGACTGAAGGTACGGCGAGTTCCGGGCGGTTTTGAACTCTCCCAACCTCGCCTTATATCAAAGGTCTTGGGTGAGCATTGGGACGGCGTGTCGCATGCCAAAACACCCTTGCCAACGAGCGCACTGCCAACCACTTGCGCGGACGGGGAAGGGCTGCGTTCGTCAGACTACCTCTCCATCATTGGGAGTCTGAGCTACTTATCTGCGGGATCACGACCAGACATCACCTTTGCGGTGAACTTTTTGGCTAGATTTTCTAAGAATCCGGGCGCATCACACTGGAATTGCCTCAAGCACGTCCTGAACTACATTGCTGGAACCAAAGACAGACCCCTGCGATTAGTCCCTAAGGAGCAAAACCCGCGGCTAGCTTGCTTCACCGACGCGAACTGGGGGGGCGAGTTCTCCCGTTCCACGTACGGATTCATTGTTTTCTTCCACGGAAGTCCAATCGCTTGGAACTCTCGACGATTGGCCACGGTCGCCTCCTCAACAGCCCACGCGGAATACATGGCGCTGGGCCATGGTACCAAGCAGCTGTTATGGTTGCGACACCTCCTTAAAGATATCACTGGCCTTGAGAGCGTCGGCTCTCTCTTCAGCGACAACCAAGCAGCGGTCAAGGTCTGCGCAGATGACGTCTCCAACAAACGCACTCGACACACAGATAGGGAATTCTACATCACCAACCGGGCGCTATTCAGGAAACAAGTGTCCTTATCATGGGTCGATAGCAAACACCAATTCGCGGATGTACTCACTAAGAACCTTCCGGCATCGGTTCACGACTTTCAGCTGAAGGTGATCATGGGGATCTCGTCGAGTGGGGGGGTGTTGTAGCACGAGTACGTAATGTGACACATTACGCACCACGTCACTACATGACAGGCAAAGTCACAAACCAAGGAAAGTCATGACAGAAGACTTTCCCTCGCCTGTCGACTTTCCTCGACTTCGACCATATGTTGTATTTACATAATTATTGTATATAAATACAACGTTTCTCCACAGTTTGTTTTGATTCATTCCTTCCATATTCATTGCAATCCATTCATCATTTTTCCTCTCACGTGTCACTACCTCAATACTGATGTTTCGATTCACATTCACACACAATGTATGCCACTTGACCAGCGCTCCCTTCGGAAAAGTTCACGGCTGACGTGTTGGGGGTGTATGTGACGGTTGACCTGCCCATCCCCCATTCAAAGACAAAACCCAATGAAGCACCAGGAAGCACCCTGTGGAAACACAGTTGATGAGACAGAGAAAATGATTGACTCAATTGGTCAGCTCCAAGAGGCTCCAAGAGTGCTTTGCAGATACCAATAAATTGAAGGACTTATCTGCAGACCCTACAGGATCAACTTGAGGCATCTCGAACTCAGATTTGGTGGGGATGCTCTGGATTCAAGAGGCTGCAAAATTGATGTGAAGGCCCTCCGATCATGTCCATACCATTTAGGAATGGGCAAAACAAAGAGTGGGATTACAGTCCTAGCACCATGTGTGAATAGATATGGTACTAAGAAAAACAAATAATATGTTTATGTATGTAAGGCCCCAATTATAAACAACCTTTTCAAATATATTTGAAATAATTCGAAAAATGTTGCACCTTCTTTCTGGTTTTTTTACCATTTCTTTTTCCTCTCAAAACCGAGCTCAAACCCTTTCAAACCTCCTTGGGAGGTGGTTTGAGTCTGAAAAACCTCGCATGGACAAACAATACCCAACTTCTCGCCTGTACATCCCTGTATGGTTGCAATGCATACAGGGATGTAAGTACAGGCTGGGGGAATACAAGTGCTGGCCCGCTTGGTTGCGGATTCACATATCCTGATACCCATCGGCACAAGGTTTCCACACCGTTGGCGACGCAACATGGTACTGGGGCACTACATCCATCAAGGCGAACACATAATAAAAACATATGCAATCCTGAAAAATTGCAACTGCTCCATGTCCCTAACCCCACCGGTGGGCCAATGTGCCCGAGAACAACCGGTTGGTGGTGTTTGAAGGCCCAAGAGCCCTTTGAACATTGAGGGTTTATAATTGTACGAAGTATTTGACTGTGTTTTGAGATAAATTTTGAACTTTTTTCCCTTTTCTTTTTCATTTCTTTTACGTTTTCAAATGGTTTTCAATTAGAAAATCCAAAAATTCAAAATATCGGTTTATAATTGGGGCCTAAGTTCCCACAAAAATTGGAAAAGCTGAATCTGTCTCATAAGGCAGCAATTATAAAGGGCTTTTGATTTCTTTTGAGAATTTTTTGGTTTTTGTTTGAATTACTTTCATAATGTTTTTACTATTATCTTGTTAACCAAAAAACGATCTTGAAAACATTTCAAACAACCTCCTAGTTTGAAAAGGGAGAAAAAAATCAAAATCCGCTTATGTGATATCATTACAGTCCTAATGGGATTCACTACACCCCTTATGGGCTGTATCCTGCTGTATGACCATACGAAATACAGACAATGCTCCGACCTAGACCTTGATACAAGATCTCAAATGCAGATAAGCAATAAACTAGCTGTTTGAGTTGATAATTGCATGATGTTTGGACTTTTTTGGTTTCTCTTTTAATTTCACTTCCTCGTAAATAAATAAAAAAAGGGGGTTGGAAAAACGACTCCCTAAAATTCGCCTACGACTCCCATTTTGGTCGAGGGGTCGTCGGACAGGAGTCGTCTTTCCAATCCCCCCTGGGGGATTGGGAGTCGACCTCCCAATCAATTTTTTATTTATTTTTATTTCTTTGGGTGGGAGTCGGCGCCCAAAACCCTCCTTGGCAAGTGGGAGGTTTGGGAGTCGCCTCCCT